TGTTAGACGAATATCAATAGAAAATTTGTAATTTGTAATATTTTTATTATTATATTGCACATTACAAATTTATATTTTGTTAAGCTAATTAAATCTGAAGACTTATAAGTATTATTATATATATACCTAATTCGCGAGATATATTATTTGTGTTCTTTTTTATATTAATTTAGATACTTAAATTTAATACATTATACATTAAAAATTATAAATTTATAACATATGTTTAAAAATATTAAAATTATAAAAAAATAAATAAAAAATATATACACTTTTGTTTTATATACTACATTAAATTTATTTTATTAATTAATTATTTTTATATTATATTTATATTATATTTGCTACTAATTTATTATGACTTTATATCATATTATTATTATTATATTATTTACTAATTCTTAATTCTATGTAATAATACTATATTATTATTATGATTTTATATCTAATATTAATATATTTTATACAAGTAAAAAGAAACAATATATGGAAATAAATTTCTTTTCTTTCTTCTTTAGAATTGGCAGCCACCATTTGCTGTTGATGTTGATAAATTCAAATTCGTTCCAAGAATACAAAGACTAAATGAATTAGAGGCAAAGACTAGGATAAAGCTTAATTTCTTGGATCAAATTGCAAAATTTTGGGAACTTCAAGGTTCATCTTTAAAAATTCCTCTTGTTGAACGCAAAGCTCTTGATTTATATTCTTTACATAAAATAGTCACTGATGAAGGTTTGTTTATTTAATTCTTTATATCTAATTGAAATATTGATATATTAATTAAATATTATTTTTAGGTGGAATTGATACAGTAACGAGGGAAAGAAGATGGGCAAAAATTGCAAATAAATTGGGTTATCCTTCTGGACGCAGTGTTGGAAGTATTCTAAAAAATCATTATGAACGTATTTTATATCCATTTGATGTCTTTAAACAAGGAAAGACATTGACAGATATAGTAAGTTTTTTTTTGTTATAAATTGTTTTTTTAAATCAATGTACATGTTTTTTGTATGTTAAATTATACAGAAAATTGAACCAGATTCTAATGTGAATGAGAAGAAAGATCGAGATTATAAACCACATGGAATTATATCACGTCAACAAATTAAACCTCCAACTGAAAAATTCTCACGTCGGTCAAAAAGATTTAGTGGTCAAGAAGAAAAACAGGAAGTATCTATTAAACAAGAAGATTGTAAAGAAGAATGTGATTCTGATAATGATTGTAAAGATGGAATTAAAAATAAACAATATGATGATAAGGATAATAGTAAAGAACTTAAAAAATTACAATTTTATGGAGCTGGTCCAAAAATGGCTGGATTTAATACCAAAGAAGGAAAAAAATCTAATAAAACTAGAGGTGTAAAACTTGTTTATGAAGTTGATCCAGTAAGTAACATATTATACATTATTTGATTATAATTTATATTTATAAAAATTATTTTTTTTTCAATTTATATATATACTTTTATAGTTGGCAAAATATATATGTCATAATTGTGGAAGAGGTGACAATGAAGAAAACATGCTTTTATGTGATGGATGTGATGATAGTTATCATACTTTTTGTCTTATGCCACCATTGACAGAAATACCAAAAGGTGATTGGAGGTGTCCAAAATGTGTTGCTGAAGAAGTTTCTAAGCCAATGGAAGCATTTGGATTTGAACAAGCACAAAGAGAATATACTCTTCAACAATTTGGAGAAATGGCTGATCAATTTAAAAGCGATTATTTTAATATGCCTGTACATGTATGTCATCTAAAGCACAAAAAAATATAATATGATTTGTAAATATTTTATATTTTATATTTTATATTTATTTTATATTTTTTAGATGGTGCCAACATCATTAGTAGAAAAAGAATTTTGGCGAATAGTTTCTTCAATTGATGAAGATGTAACGGTTGAATATGGAGCAGATTTACATACAATGGATCATGGATCTGGATTTCCAACAAAAACTAGCGTTAATTTATTTACATGTGATCAAGAATATGCTGAATCTTCATGGAACTTAAATAATTTACCTGTTTTACGTGGAAGTGTCTTAGGTCACATTAATGCTGATATTAGTGGTATGAAAGTACCATGGATGTATGTTGGAATGTGTTTTGCAACTTTTTGTTGGCATAATGAGGACCATTGGAGTTACTCCATTAATTATTTACATTGGGGAGAACCAAAAACATGGTATGGTGTACCTGGTTCTCAAGCAGAAAGATTTGAACAATCAATGAAATCAGCTGCACCAGAATTGTTTCATAGTCAACCTGATTTACTTCATCAATTGGTTACTATCATGAATCCAAATATTTTAACAAATGAAGGTAATACAAAATTATTCTTATTTTGTTATTATGAAATATTATATTAATTAATCATTAATATTTATATTTGGTTTTTTAGGTGTTCCAGTATTCAGGACTGATCAACATGCAGGGGAATTTGTAGTGACATTTCCAAGAGCATATCATGCAGGTTTTAATCAAGGATATAATTTTGCTGAAGCTGTAAATTTTGCTCCCGCTGATTGGGTATATTATCATTCTAAGTTTTTATAGTGATAATATATATATATAAATTTATATTTAATTTATACTGTTTATATCTATATATTTTGTTTAATAGCTTAAAATTGGACGAGAATGTATAACGCATTATTCGAATTTAAGACGATTTTGTGTATTTTCTCATGATGAATTGGTATGCAAAATGTCATTGGATCCAGATTCATTAGATATAGGAATTGCAACTGCAACTTACCATGATATGCTTCAAATGGTAGATGATGAGAAAAAGTTACGAAAAAATTTGCTGGAATGGGTAAGTATATTAATATTTATTACATTTTTTAGATAATTGAATGTTTTTTAACTTTGTTATATATATTAGAAATGTATATTTAAAATGAAATATCTATATATTATATACATAAATTATAATTAATATATATAATTATGTTATTAATTATTGTAAGCATTTTATTTTTTATTTATTAAAATTTAAAAATTTTTTATCATAAATATTTAAATGTTACTATCAAATTCATTTTTTTACTTAGATTATAATTTTAAATGTAAAAACTAATATATTTAGGTCAAACAGTATAGTATATGCTGAAACATTCCCTCACAAACTTATACATACAATATTACATGCATACGTTGGCACACACATAATTGTAACCATGCGGGCACACGCGGTGAAAGACGTGTGTGCGGTTGATATTACCAACCATTGGACATCGTAGTTTCACTGTCGACGTTATAATCGTCGTTAATGACTTCATATTTTGTTATTTTTGGTTAGCTTGCAGTCCTATCTTTAAAATAGTTTTTTAGTGCGATCGTTCTTTAGTTATCAACCTTGACTTGTTGATACCTATTTGGTGTGTCTCTGATCTTGATTATATAACTTTCATTGGTGAATAGAGGTTATGTTTTTAAAGTTTTGCCATGATGCTAAACAGGCATTATATTTTTTCATTATATTTTCATTTGAAAAGTTTTATAATTTTTTTATTTTATTGAAAAATATTAGTGTCATTTTTAAATAAATTGTATATTTGCAAAAATTTTTTCTATCTTAGTTTATTTGCCCACAGATGGATACATGTGTTTCATTATTAATCTTATTCCGCGTAATATTTTTAATATTTTTTTTTAAAATGTAAGAATGACGAATTGTTTTATAAATGATGTTTGTGTTAAAAACTATATTTTTCAGGGTGTAACAGAAGCAGAACGAGAAGCATTTGAACTTTTGCCGGATGATGAGAGACAGTGTGAAGCGTGCAAAACAACTTGTTTTTTGAGTGCAGTTACATGTTCATGCCAAAGTTCTCAATTAGTTTGTTTAAGACATTTCACAGAACTTTGTGATTGTCCTCCAGAAAAACATACATTACGTTATCGTTATACTTTAGACGAATTACCAATTATGCTACAAAAATTAAAATTAAAAGCAGAGTCATTTGACTCATGGGTAACAAAAGTAAAAGAGGCAATGGATCCTGATAAAAAAAATGATAAAATTGAATTAAATGAATTAAAAGAACTTCTAAATGAAGCAGAAAGTAAAAAATTTCCAGAAAGTGAATTGCTTACAGCTTTAACAACTGCTGTGCAGGATGCTGAAAAATGTGCAAGTGTTGCACAACAACTTTTGAATAATAAACAACGTACCAGGTATTATGAAGCTTTTTAATTTCTATTCATGATAAATATTATTATTTGTATTAAATAAAATTATTTGAACTCTTTTATAACTATTTTATAATTTTTTTATATTTTTATAGAACTAGACAATCTGTTGAAACTAAATACAAGCTTACAGTAGAAGAATTAACTCTTTTCTATAAAGAAATAACAAATTTATGTTGTGAACTTAAAGAATCTGATGGGATAAAATTTATACTTGATCAAGTATTACAATTTCAAAAGGAAGCAGAAGAATTAGAATGTAAAGATGATTGTAATATTGAACAGTTAGAAAAATGCATTGACTTTGGAGATTCTATTTGCATTGAACTACCTCAACTTATACGTTTAAAACATGTAAGCAATATATTAATATATTTACCTTTTTTAAAAATATATTCTTATTTTATATATTTTATATAATTAAATATCTGTTTTAATTTATATAATTTGAAGAAATTAGCACAAATACAATGGCTTGAAGAAGTAAAATCTATTCAAGAAGATCCAAAATCTATACATCGTGATGATTTAGCAAAATTAATTGAAAAGGGTATGACAATGCCTCCTAACTTAAATATAGAAAATACTCTTTCAGACTTGCAAGCATTGATGCTTGCAATTGATAATTGGGAAGAGAAAGCAAAGTTATATCTTCATACAAAAAATAGACAAACTATTGCATCTCTTGAAGAATTTATCCATGAAGCTGATAAAGTGGAAGCTTATTTACCAAGTTTAGATGTTCTTCAAGATACACTAAATAAAGCAAAAAATTGGACAAAAATGATGGAAGAAATACAAGCAAGAGATAATTTTCCATATTACAATACATTAGATGATCAAATTAAAAAGGGCAGAAATATTCCATTGCATCTAGATGCTCTTCCTATTTTAGAATCTACACTTTCACAAGCAAAAACTTGGAAAGAAAGAACAGCACGAACATTCCTAAGGAAAAATTCACATTATACTTTAATGGAAGCTTTGTCACCACGAATTGGAGTTGGTATACAAGCGTTAAAAGCTAAGAAAAATAAAAATGAAGATTCTGTAGGACCTGTCTTTGTCTGTGATACAAAATTGGATGATTCCAATGATTCAGCAACCATTGTAGCTGCGTTTAAATTAGCTGAACAACGTGAAATGGAAGCAATGCGAAATTTGAGAGAAAGAAATTTAATGAAAACTGAAATAGATGATTCAAGATATTGCGTTTGTCGTCGACCAAGGTTTGGACTCATGCTTCAATGTGAGCTTTGTAAAGATTGGTTTCATTGTAAGTAATATTTTTTCTTTATAATAAATATAGATATTAAATAATTGAATTTAATTATAATTTTTAATTGAAATATATTGTTTTAATTTTAGCAAATTGTGTACCTTTGCCAAAGACATCGTATAAAGGAAAATTTCCAATGTCAAGGGAAATTAAATTTTTATGTCCGTGTTGTTTACGTTCACGGCGACCACGGTTAGAAACAATTTTGGCTCTTTTAGTTAGCCTCCAAAAAATTCCGATTCGTTTACCAGAAGGTGAGGCATTACAATGTTTAACGGAACGTGCAATGAATTGGCAGGTGAGTTTCGCATAATAATTAAGATTAATGAATTATATTATAATATGTAATGATATACATAATATACATAGTATACATACATCGAATAGGATCGAGCCCGACAAGCATTAGCTACGGATGAAATCTCATCAGCATTAGCAAAATTATCTGTGCTATCACAAAAATTAGTAGAAGCAGCAGCAAGAGAAAAGACAGAAAAGATCATCAGCAGTGAATTAAAAAAAGCAGCAAATAATCCTGAATTACATCAGAGAGTACAAGCAATAGCACCGCTTAGTGGTGTACATTCAGATGATAGTGCACTTAGTACTGCGGTATGTTTAGTCGTCTTTGTATAATATTATATATTAGAATATAGAACAATGTCTAAGATATATATATTTTATATGTAATTGAATATATAATATCATATATTTCAGGATGATGATGATGATGTTGTTACTATTGATGATGATGAACCAAGTTGTAGTACATTTAACAGTAATGAACATGCATATTCTTATAGTAAGTTCGTAATCATAATAAAAATTAAATGATGTAAACGAAGATTCATAATATTTATATTTTATTTTTCAGTATCCAAAATTCAACGTAAAACGCAATCAAACGATACAACAGAAGTTGCTGTTGTACTTTCACAAACAGCAAGGTTACGTTTAGAAGAATTGATGATGGAAGGCGATTTATTAGAAGTTGCACTTGATGAAACGCAACATATTTGGCGTATATTAAGTCATACAAATAGTCCGAGTACAGTTCGAAAATATGCATCATATGAAGAAGTTCAAACTAATTTGAATCAAGATATAAAAGATGTTAAAAAACGCGGAAGGAAAAGAAAATCCGATGAATTTGAATTACTAAAAAAACTTGGAAGACAAAAAATGGAAGAGAAAAATTTAGCTAAACGCAAAGGACTACAGAAGGAAAAAAAATCGGCAGGTTCTCCAGTGCCTATAAAACGTGGACCTCGAAAAGTATTTAAATTTATAAATATAATTTATAATTTATAAATTATTAAATTAAAATTTAAATTAAGATTTATAAATAATATTTTTAATAATATTTTTAAATAAAATTAAAAATTGAATTTTACTTTGATACTAAAATATAAATTTTAGATGAAACGCAAAGAAGGTGAAGAAGGTCCAAAAAAAAGAGGTGGTAATAGAAAAAAAACTAAACAGGATACTTCAGATGAAGAAGATGATTGTGCGGCTGTCAATTGTTTGCGACCTGGTGGTAGGAAAATATTTTAATATAAATATAATAAAAATATAATAATGTAATTATTATATCCTATATATTCTATATATTATGTAGTGTTTTATATATTTATATTTATGTAGGTAGAGAAGTTGATTGGGTACAGTGTGATGGCGGCTGTGAAGGTTGGTTTCATATGCACTGTGTTGGATTAGATCGTACAGAAATTGCAGAGGAGGATGATTACATATGTAGTAATTGTAAGGAGGCAGAGCATAGCTCAGTGGTAAGTTTATATTGATATGTTTGGAATTGCTATAACTTTTATATTAAATAAGTTTATTCGTATTCATTAGAATTGTATAAAGTAGGAAACATTTTTAGCTGCTTAGTGGCCTTATTAATCTTCTCTCTTGTAGTATTTTGATTATTCAGAATTTTAATTATTTCCCAATTTTTGATTTCACTTATTTGATGTTTTAAGTTTTTTTATTTGCTAAGTAGTGTATGATATTATAGTTTTAGTGCAATATTTCTTTTGTGTTGTCTATACTGTAGTCAAGAGCGCCAGATCCCCTAGCTGAATCATTAGGCCTGGATGCACTTCTTTCCCTTTCTCAATCTCAGGGATACCAGGGCACAGATAGTGAAGCAGACATTCAAGAAACCACATCCTTCGTCAGGACTTACTAGTCTACTTTGCCTTGTTAGCTCTGTACAAGGCTAGGATGTTTATCAATTTCAAGTCATTTAGACTGGGAATTTACACAGTCCGACAATTAATGTTACCTACAATCATCGTTCAGTCAATTGGTACTGCAGATTATCAGATGCCGTTTGATTACTATTGCGAGCGGATATTGGAGATAAAGTATTATAATGCAGTCGGATTGTAATCTTTACGACTATGAATATTATTTTTTTATTTTGATTTGATATGCTTTGCAAAGCTATCATTTTTTGTATGTATTATATTGCATTGTATTTTATTTTTCTAAGATAAAACAGATATTTATCAAGATTTATTGTTCAAGCACAATACATTTATACTCAAGAAAAATTAATTTCATGCATTGATATTTAATGTTAATTTATAACATTAAAACCTGCTTGCTTTTATCCAGAATAATATGTTAATTATGAATTAAGTACACGATTCCAATTGAAAACAAATCTTCTAAATCGTATTACATATTATACAGATCAGGTATCGCGGATGAACCGTGATATACTACTTTGTGGTTTATATGAGGTTTTAGAAAATAGATATTTTGCATCCCATTATAATTTTTATTTCTTATCTCGTGCTGCGATTGTTGATGGAAAAGAAAATACAGAGACCAATGACTGTTAAGTAATAATGATATGCGTTAACATTATTTATATAATATGATAGTGTGAATGTATACTTTTCATATGTAAAATATGAAAAGATATAGAAAAACTAAGGGAAGGAAAGAAGAGTATAATTTGACCTAATGATTTGGGCGATCTATGTTGAGAGAAAAATTAGTGATGGCGATAAATATGTGACAAAAAAGTCATCTCAGATTATTTCTATTTAAAGGAAGATTCCGTCGGTTTTTGTATCGGCTTTTTATTGTAATGGTGCAAGAGAACTTCTTTTGCGCTAAAATAGTATGTACAGATAGACTGAGATATGTGTGTATTAAGATACGGATATTATACATATATACATAAGAAATTAGATTGAAACGTAGAAATAAGTTACAATTTGTATAAAGAAAGAATTGACACGCAGATACATAGCATATCTATCTTCTTGAAACAATTTAATTGGAATTATTGGATTTTGGACCAGAGTGTACAACTTATGTAATTTGTAAGTTGCAAGTTATCTGATTTTCATTTTATGTCACATTCATTTTTTGTCATGAATACTTAGACAAATGTTTTATATTGTGATATGATTGATATCAGTGAAAAACTTCCGAATGGCCTAAAAAATATACATTATATAATGTAAAATCTATTTGTAGTATTGTAAAACATTAATTTTATAATTTCAACTGGTTAACATATAAAAATACTTGTTTTAATTTTTCTGTGACTATATTACATTTCGTAATATTTAATATGTTGATGATTTATACTTTGGTATGCTCATAATTTCATTTTATACACTCAACATTAATTTGAGTTATAAATATTTAAAACTGATTACTAACTATCCTACATTAATTCCTGCATTATTAACATTCACATTCACATGATGTAATGCATCAATGTAGTATAATTAAAGCTTACTTATTATTTTGTACATTAAAGTATTATAAAATCTCTAAACGTTATAAAAACTTATACTATATATATAATGATAAGTATATTCCGTAATAAATCGTTTTATAAATGTTGTAAATGTTATAAATATGGATCTCATTCTTGATAAAACAAAATTGAAAAAGTAAGAAATATATCACTATTATTGAAGTGAATAAATTATGCGATGTAATTTGTGTATCTAATGTTAACTCTGGTACAAAACCATGTTTCATGTATTAGTTGATATCTACGTTTTTTAGTTATTTTTTAATGTAATGTTGAGCTGATTTTTGTTTTTTCTTTTTCTTTTTTCTTTTTTTTCTTTTTTTTTTTCTTTTTTTTTTTCTTTTTTTTCTTTTTTCTTTTTTTATATATAGTCCATTTTACTTTCGTGCAAAAATGTTATATGCGTGTCTCTCTCTATTAATATGATTTTTCGCACGATATACCAAGAAAAAAAGATATCTTTATGTAGATATCTTTATGTAAAAAAGATATCTTTATTGTGAGTTTATGAAATTGTGCTAGCAGTACAAGAAATTTTGTATAATTACTTGTTAAAAAAAAAACCAGATAATTGATCATTGAGTTTTTACATAAATTAAAACTATAAATGTATGTTATGTATGGGATGACACGACATATACAGTGTGTTTTAAATATTTGCATATCGAAACATACCATGTGTATCGTCGGTGTTAGCATGATATGAATTTTGTTAACGAATCTATTATTAGTGATCGTTAAAAGATAATGATTGTTCTATTAATTCTGTTAACAGAATTCATTTTATTATAATGATAAGAAAATAATTAAACTAATATGCATCATCAACGATTAACATGTTACGTTTTCATTTAAAACAGACTGTAAGTCAAAGAATCGATAAGACATTATGTGTACACACATATATTTTTGTACAGATACAAAAAGGTTCAATAATCTCTTTGATTATTGCTCCGGGATACGCGGGAATGCAGTGAATTTCTAACGATAGTGTGTTTTCTGTATTATGAGATGAAGTATGAATTTCATTTGTTTTTTTTTTTTTCGTAATAAAAATTATATATATACGTATATATATTATATATATATGTATACATATGTACGTACATTGGTTAATGTATTTTATACAAGGTACTTAGAATTATTTTTATTAAAAATGATAAACATTAAAAAAAAAAAAGAAAAAAAGAAAGAAATGAATAATAAATTTGTGTGCTTTATATGATGGTACACTATCATTAAAAATACATTGTGATTAATGACATGAAAGAAAGATTGAAACTGCGTGATCATTCGTAGAGTTTTTTTCAAAATGAACATATTTAAATACACTTTATCATAAAATATCAGTTTACATTAATACTGATCATTCGTTTGGCATAATATAAGGCAAGTGCCCATGTGTTTTCAAAAAATACTGTACTAATTATCAGAAAGAAAACAAATTAACTTTTCTTAATCTTCTTTATAATCAGAACAATTTGTCTAATACTGATTTCGGTTTTTTTTAATGAAATATTTACATAATTTGCATTCAATAATAAATTAAAATTCATTGAATCTATAAAAAAAAAATATTATTATATAAAAGAAAAAATATTATACTTTGATGAAATCATTTTTGTAAATTAAATTTGTAATTAGATATTATTGGTTTTACATGTAACATGAAGTTCAGTTGAAATTAATTTTAACATTTATTTTGATCAGTAAACATATTTTTTAAAAATTGCTACTATAAGTTTTATATAAGATATCTTAAATATGAATTGTAATTTCACTTAAAATTTTTGTTTTGCTATTATTGTTCAAATTTTTGTTCATGACATTCTGTTTATTTTTGTGTTAATTAATATTTATTTTTTGTGATTCTAAAATGTTAACTTTAATTTAATTTTCTTTAATTTATATATGATGATTACTTACTATGAATTAGATAGTTCGTATTCATTCAAATAATACAGTAAAAACATGTTACTTAATTTCCAATGCACTATTGTTAGTAATCGTCTTTATATTAAACTCGATTGTTTCTTTGTTTCTTTTTGTTCAATGTATTGCAAACGCGTTTATATCAAATGTGTTTTAGTTATTCCAAACTTCACCTCGCAAAAAAACAAATCCTTTGATTCCACCAAAAATTTAGTCGATAAAGAGAATCATTATCGTATATCTTATATTTATTACATTTTTATCTACTTGTTTTTTTTTTTTTTTTTTTTTTT